AGAAGATGGCCCAAGTGTTTGGACCCCGGCATCCATGTTGGAGACCTGGAGGAGGCTCCTGGCTCCTGGCTCCTGGCTTTGGGTCAACCCAGCTTTGGCCATTGTGGCCATTTGGGGAGTGACCCAGCAAATGGAAAACCTTTCTCTCTGTCTCTCCCTCTCTCTGTGACTCTGCCTCTCAGGTAAATAAATAAATCTCAAAAAAATAAAAAAATAAAAAACCCTCAATCTGGACATATAATATTGATTACTAGAGGTTGGCAGGTGTAGGAAGAATAAAAGCAGTTCAAATGAAAAAGTGGGGAGGGGCCAATGCTGTGGCACAGTGGGTTAAAGCCACTGCCTGCTGTGCCGGTACCCATATGGGCATTGGTTTGAGTCCCAGCCGCTCCTCTTTTGATCCAGCTCTCTGCTATGGCCTGGGAAAGCAGTAGAAGATGGACCAAGTCCTGGGCCCCTGCACGTGCGTGGGAGACCTGGAAGAAGCTCCTGGCACCTGGCTTCAGATCAGCTCAGCTCTGGCCATTACAGTCATTTGAGGAAAGAACCAGGGGAATGGAAGACCTCTCTCTCTGGCTCTACCTTTCTGTAACTCTGTCTTTCGAATAAATAAAGTAATTCTTTAAAAAAAAAAGAAAAGAAAAACTGAGGAAACTGGATGTGATTCATTAATGGTATAAAATATAATAATATGGTGTGTTGACAGAGGAAATAGGGTGAGAAGTATCTGAAAACATGTTATTACTACCTCACAATTCTTTTTGTAAATTTAAACTCTTCTGAAATACAAAAAAGGTAGGATATTACTATTGTATAATAACAGAAATATCATATTCTGTTCATTGAATTTTGAAAGAATCTGATTTTTCTCAATACCAATATGTAGCAATCATAAAATATACATCATAGTTTATTAAAATGTTTTAAATGTTAAAATTTATGCTTCTGATACTATTTTTGAATAGGTACTAAATTTATTTTATATTTTGCATGCAAAAATGCTCTAACTTTCTATCACAATGAAAGAATAGTGTTTCACATAAGTTAATTTTCTAGATAATGGAAGCCTGTAGTGCTGTAACATTGCTAAATTATTTTTCCATAGCTGGTATAAACTTTGCAGCTCCAAAACTCTGATATATAACAGTGAACTTCCATTAATACTCCATGAGTAACCTTAATTAATTTTACTGTTTGATATTTTTGAAAATAAGGAAATTCCAAATTCATTATTGCAAATTAATTATTAAACACAATCACATCTAATTTAACTCTATCTCTTTAAGCTCATCATGCAGCCAATTCAGTTTTTCCTCCTCTCCTGGCCTTCCCTTCTCCCTAGATGGTTCTGGCCCCAAGAAATTTGGATGTAGCATTATTGCAAGGGGTAGAGTTAGGGGACAGGGAGGAGAAACTGAAGAGTACTGCAACAAATCGAAGGTCTTCTTCCTTCTCTTCAGTCTCTGATGGGAGTGTTTCATCTGTGCTCTTTCATTGGAGTATGTCAGGAGCCCCACGATGGCCTCTGTTCTTCATCTATATTTATCCCTCATCCTGTTCACTTCCAATGCCACTTTAATAGGCGTAGATGTTTTCTGCACAATCCTGGTATGTATAGTACCAATATAGTGTGACACTACTGCCAGGTCTATAGTTAGTGCTACTGCACTTATTAGGCACCATGGTGGATCTGGGGCTTCCCTACTGTGCTTGCTATTTTTCTACACACAGAGTCAACACACCCACTTCCAATCACACCTTCTGCAATTTCCCTCTCACTCCTTCTGTTCAAGATGTTTCTCCTTGGGATCATTATATAATCCTGAATTCCCCTCATTCTAGGTAAGCTGTACCAGATCAGAGTTCCCATAACGTGACTCTTAACATTTTAAGCTAAAGTTTTGGAAATAAAACAATTGATTCCTTACCAAATATCTAACTATAATGATTAAAAATTGGAAGACTTTTAAGTTTATATCTCTGCTAGGGAATTTTAAGAATCAATCTTCATATTTACAACAAAAAATAAATGACTTTGTTTTGTCCTAAACAACATATGTCCTTTCCCTTAGGCAATAAATTTCCTTAGTTTCAGTGAAAGACCTCAATGCAATTGTTAAAATAACAACAATATAAAAGAAAGATACACAGCAGACCCATAGAATGGCAAATGTCCTAACAGCACTCTGGCCTCATAATCAGCCCTTAAGGCATGCAGATCCGGCTGAAATGCCCATGAGAGTATTTCAGGCATGGAAAGCCAAGACACTCTGGGGGGAAAAAAAAAACCTAAATGAAAGATCTCCACGAGTGAGATCCCAGTGGAAAGAATGGGTCATCAAAGAAGGAGGTACCTTTCTCTGAAGGGAGGAGAGAACTTCCACTTTGACCATGGCCTTGTCTAAAAATGATCGGAGTCAGTGAACTCAGGGGGCTTTCATAGCCTTGGCAGCTCATGACAAGAGCCTAGGGTGATTACTGATGCCATAAACAAGAGTGTCAATTTGTTAAGTCAACAACAGGAGTCACTGTGCACTTACTCCTCATGTAGGATCTTTGTCCTTAGTGTGCTGTACATTGAGATTTAATGCTATAACTAGTATTCAAACAGTATTTTTCACTTTATGTTTCTGTGTGGGAGCAAACTGTTGAAATCCTTACTTAATGTATGCTAAACTGATCTTCTGTATATAAAGAGAATCGAAAATGAATCTTGATGTGAATGGAAGGGGAGAGGGAGTGGGAAAGGGGAGGGTTGCGGGTTGGAGGGACGTTATGGGGGGGAAGCCATTGTAATCCATATTCTGTACTTTGGAAATTTATATTCATTAAATAAAAGTTAAAAAAAATTAAGAGAATTGAAAAAAAAAGAAAGTAAAGCATTGGATAAAAATTTTTGAATATCGAACCATAGAACCAGTTTTATACAGCAAGCTCTTAGCATAACACATTCCTGCTTTTTAAGCTGAATTCATTTAGTCTTTTATTAATGACTCAGGGTTGATTTTAGTTATCATTTTGGAAATGTATGTTCTATGGTTACAATGTCCTAATTTAATCCTTATACCATGCGTCAGTTTAGGCAAATGGATTAGGCTATCTATCACCTAAGAAACTGTCAGGAATTAGTAAAATAATAATAATAATAACAACAACAAAATGTCTAGCAAAGAGCATAAATGTAAGGACTCCCTAAATGCAAGCTATTGTTATGTTAAAATAGTTAATTATATAGAGGACTTCTTAAATATAGACTCCTATTCTGAATACAGTCATTGTCTATGGCCATACCACCCTGTATATGCTGGATCTCATCTAATTAAAGCCATGTAAGTTAGCTGTTTGAGTTCCACTTCTAATGAGAACTAGATGCTGCTACCATTTCATTGTAGAGTAAGATTAAAAAGTAGAAACCAACCATGTTAGAAGGAGAGGCATCCAGGTGTTTGGGCCCCTGTCACCCACGTAGACCAGGATGAAGCTCCTGGCTTGTCTGTCCTAGCGTTGGTTGTTGCAGCGCCCTAGGGAATGAGCCAGCAGATGGAAACTCTCTCTCTCTCTCTTTCTTTTCCTCTCTCTCTTTCAAAATAAATATTTTTTTAAAAAAACAAAGAGGGCCTTTGATTCAAGACTGTTAATACAAAATAGTAGTCTCCAAAGGGTAGTTTGGATACTTGAGTTTAGGTTTAGAAGATAAATTTGTTATGAATTTTCTCATTAAACTTGGAATTGTTAAAATATTGCATTAAAATCTATTTATCTACATCTTGTACCCAAGGTGAAGTTATGTCACCCCAACCTCAATCTGGAATATTTCAGAAGAACCATGGGTAAAACAAGCATAAGCAGACAAAGGGAGCTTTCTTTACATGATATGTGAGAGTAACATATTCAAACTCAAAAATCTTCATGGACCAAGAAGTTGATGAATTGAGTCAAGTAGATTTGGAGTAAGGGAACAGTTTTTGATGGAAGTTGTGATTGAAGCAAATATTTGAAAATCTGACTTCATTCATGTTTATTAAATATATCACGCTTTTAAAAGACATTGGCCAGCCTAGTAAAACAAGACTAAGAGCTAAAATTTTGTCATTTCTGGCTTAAAGGATTAGACTCATTTTCAACTAAAGTCCAAAGGAAATAGGTTTGGATATATTATTGTCTGCCTTCTGCAACTGGAGCATGCCGCTGTTGGTAACAGCACTAACTGCTCCATAGTGCTGGAGCAGGGAACCAAGGCTTACATTGTTTCCATTATACCCCTCTGAGTCTTCCTTGTGGTCTTGAGGTTGTCAGATCAGTATTTGAGCACGATATTTTCCCTCTACTTTCTATTGATTATCTCATATTGGAAACTTTAAAGAAAAGAATTAAAAATACAGCTTATTTTTAAATGAAAGAATAGCTCTAAGTGGAGCCCCAAAATTTCTTCTATAGGGAAAACCATACATGTTTACATCAAAAGCTTTTTTCCATCTTCTTTGAGAGACAAAGTCTCATCTTACAAAGAATATGAATAGTTTGGGGATAACCTATATATAGATTCAAACACAAATTGTACTGCTAATTAATTTTGGACACTCTACATGTGATTTCTAGCTCTAATTTTCCTGATCTGAGAAATGGGACTAGGGATAGGAGTTTGGCACAGCAGTTAAGATGCTACTTGAGAAGTTCACATCTTATATCAAAGTGCAGGAGTTTGAGTCCCAGATCTGCTTCTAATTCCAGCTGCCTGCTAAAACACACCCCGAAAGGCAGCAGGTGATGACCCAATTACTTGGGTCCCTGTGACCTAAGTGGGAGACCCAGCTTGAGTTCTGGCTCCTGGCTTTGGCCTGACCCAGCCCCAGCTATTGCAGGTATTTAGGAAGTAAACTAGTGAATGGAAGATTCATTTTCTCTCTCTCTCTCTCTCTCTCTCTCTCTCTCTCATCTTTCAAATAAATAATAATAAAAATTACATAGAAAAATGGAATTAAATTTCTATGTCTTAATGTTATTGGAAAAACAACAAATAACAGTATAAAGTAGTTTGTATATGAGAGTAGTCGATGTTTGAATGTACTAGTCTAATTCTTCAGAGAGGTGTTTTACTCGCTTCTCACCTCTTGGTTAGATTGTAGATTGATAAATTTGCTGAATAATGATGACTGAAAAGCTGATGGGCTGCTTCACACATAAGGAATATAAATGATCTACTCTATATGATTTGTCATGTAAGAGGGAGAGAATCATAAGCAATTTCATATTGATATCCTCAAATGTGACTTCAAACAAATTATGCAGGCAGAACAAAGTTTGGCTAATGTACAGATTCACTTCCCAATTTTTACTTTATCTGGATTATGTTTTTGGACTTTTCTTTGAGAGTAAGTAAAATCTTTGTTTAATAAGTATAATTTCCCAAAGGAATTACACATATATGTTGAATATTACACTTGGCCCACAAATGTGTTAGTGAGGTCTCTGAATTACAGAAAGATTCATAAACAAATATTCACTAAAAGAATCTAGAGTTCAAAGTACACATAATTAGAATTCAGAAAAGAGAGGAGTTTTTAAATGCAATTTTAAACTTGGAAGGGGAATCTATCAGGAGGTAATTGATTCCACCAAAGAGAAGTAATGATTGAAAATGTTCTGTCACTAGAGGATCCTCTGGAATATAAAAATGCATGGAAAAAGCAATAAGTAGGTTACACATTTGAAAAATAAAGCTTCATAGTGTATTCATTAGCAAACATCAGAAATCCGTAAAAGAGAACGTGATTATTCAAACACTTTTTTTCTTCAGCAGTATTCCAAGGAGAATGGTGGTGTGGCAAATAAATGTATAATCAATTAGAAATGTCTTCAACTACATGAGTGCACATTATTGCACGTCTTGTTACAACAGTGACATTCCAGCCCCGTGCAGGCACAGCTGATTTTACAAGATACATGACGATATACTCACCCGCCCGTGTGAGATAAAAAGCTAGAGCACTGGTGGGAGTGGAGGCGGGGTGGCGAGGTGCGACCTGGGACTAAAGCTTGCCTGTGCTATTGTGGCTCTCCATGCTGGAAGTCTTGTAATCTGGAACACTGATAGGACTGAGGCAAATCTGTTTCTGATCATTTTCCTCTTAGATTTCCAAGGTCAAAAATAGATGATACTAGGAGATATTATGAAAATAAAAAATAACAGTTAATAATGAAGGAACAATTAACTAAAAAATTCCAAAGGGCTTTTAGATTCTGAAAAAGTGCGTTACCTTGAAAAATAGGAGATTTCAAGGGTTATTTTATAATGACTCTTTCAAATGTCCTCTTTGTTAACTAACCCTTTCTATTTAAGGTGTTGCTTTGGTTGGCTATGTCTTTGCCCTTGCTCTAATCAACCCTAGTAGAAGCACCCTTGCAACGTTTCCAAATCCTATAAATAATAAAGTTAAAAAGGGTTTCTGCCTCTCTGAAGCTACAGTTCCTCCCACGCCTGTCTCCTGGCCAAATCAATTCTCTTGCCTCCTCTCCTTTGGCCACCAAAGTCACTGTTCTCAATTCAAAAGACTTCATTAAATATGATTTCAAATGCTGTACCAATGTCTTCTTTAAGGGAAAATATACTAAAGAAGTAGATATAAATAGATGTATAAAATCATATTGGAGAAGCTCAGAAGTGCTGCACTCAAGAAAAGCACGGCGATTGACAAGCAATTTAAGCTGGAGTGTGAAAGGATGCAGAAATAACAAGATTTGCATGAAAAATATTGAGATCATGAGAACATCAAATTTAAACGAAAAACTCATGTGCCTCATGATTTAATCATGAGGGCTGACATTACTGTTATAACTTTCAATATCCTTGGCTTTTGAAAAGAGTTCTATAATGAGGGTGGAGTATATCTGTCTATACAGAAAACCAGCGTTACTTTATCCAGGCAGCTCATTACTATGAGAAGCAGGGTTACAAGACTCTGAAATCTTAATATACATGTTGGGGAGCCTTATCATTAGCTATGACTGAGCCCTTATTTTTAGGCAGATACTCAAAGCAAAAGAAGAAACCTAAGCCAGGTTAAGAAAGGAGCCATGATTTAATCATTTATGGTTAGTCGATCTGCAAAAAGCAGAAAGAAAATTCATACCGATTTTAATATCTCTGCATTTGTCTTATGAAAAATTTTAACAACTGGCCAGGAGCAAGGATCAAGATACTCTTCAAATAGCAGTCATTTAAAGGGCTCCATGTTGACCTGGTAATTGTTATTCCCATGAATCAGGCAGCTGACAAAGAGTGGATCTTATTTTCCTTTTCCTTTTATTTTTTTATGGCATAATAGGTGGTCTGAAAATCTAGTTGCACTTGTTATCTCAGAGGAGGAATGCAGTTCCGACTTCTGTTTATACTTTCATATCACACTGTATCGCTGTGAACCTGGATGGCACTTCCAGTGGGACGCCATGTTTAGCCCATGAATGAGAAGACTGTCACAATCAAAAGTGCTTCAGGCACAAACAGATTTGAAACAATCTTCCTACTGACTGGAAGAAAAAAGGCTGGTTCTGAAGATCATTAAAGGTTCTATTGATGTGGTTTCGGGGGCACACATTTAGATTTTCAAATGTGTTTTACATTGGGAACAGTTTTACTCGCATTAAAGCTCAGCTGCTTTCCCTGAGAACTCTACTTCTTGTCATCATTTGCAGAAGCTTTCACACAGAACTTACTGTTCCAACTGGGAAGGAGGTGGGCGAGATGGGGAACGTACAACAGGCGACTGAACTAGCTCTCTTGACTCTGAGAAGCCAGGATCACCTGCTCAGCACCGTTCCGCAGTCTGAAGTGCAGAGATGAAAGGGGCCACCTGCAGTGTCCCAGAAAGAAAAAAAAAGGTGAAAAAAAAAACTTTTTGGCATTTAAATGTGTTAGCAGTCTCTGATTTAAAGAGTGAAAAGGATTCGTATCAATATAAATTAGGCTGAAAATTAGCCAAACTTCTTTGTGATTTTTGTGAATTCTTGGTTTTGTGTGTGTGTGTGTGTGTGTGTGCGCGCGCGCACGCGCGTGTCTGTATCTATTTGTTCTGATGGCATTTTGTTGACCATTTCATCCCAGCAACATCTTGTAATGCAACATTTTGCGGTAGGACAGTTATTCCTACAGCATCTTATTGTTGACACTTCATCACCAATGTTGTTAGGGGCATTTAGTCATGCAATACTCCACCGATGACATTTTGTCAAAACTGCAGGCCACGGTGGTAATAGCTCAGTGCTGACAGTTAGTATACTAGACCCTTTAACCTCATTATTACGCATGCAATTAAGTTTTCCACTTACTGGCGTAAAACTATCCTGTGAAAGAAAAGAAGATACCTCTTACATGTCCCTGCTCTCAATCTGTAAAAACAATTGTGTGAGTTGCTTTTAACTAAAATAATGTCTATTAAATTATACACTATTAAAATGCCTTCTACAGTCAATCTGAAAAGAAATTGTTATAGAATGAGTGGGAAAACAACTGCTCATGGGCTGCATACACTCTATTACCTATTTTTGTTTTATAAAGAAGTTTTATGTGAACACAGCCATACTTGTACATGCTGTTCATAAATGCTTATGTGCTGCATCTATAGAGCTGAGGAGGTCTAATAGAGACCTTCTGATGCAAAAAAACCAAAACCATTCACTATCTGGACTTTTGCACAAATAGTTGGCCAAACTCTGTCCTAGACAAGATTTATTTATTTATTTTAAATTTTATTCAATTGGGGCCAGTGTTGTGGCTTAGTCGGTAAAGCAAGCATCCCATATGGGTGTCAGTTCGTGTCTCAGCTGATCCACTTCCAATCTACCTCCCTGACAATGGCTTGGGAAAAGCAACAGAAGATGGCCTAAGTACCTGAGCCCCTACCACCAACCCGACAAGGGAAACCCGGATACTAGTTACAAGATTTGCGTTAAGATCCTGTCTCCTGACTTCAGCCTGGCCCAACCACAGCCACTGCAGGTGTGAACGAGCCAAAGGAAAATCCATGTGTGTGTGTGTGTGTGTGTGTGTGTGTGTCTCCCTCTCTCTGTAACTCTGGCTTCCAAATAAACAAATACATTTTAAATAAATAATTTTTTATTTTATTTATTTTAAAGAGAGACAAACTGGTTCACTTCCATCTGTTGGCTCACACCCAAATGCCTACAAAAGCTGTTGTGTTGCCAGGCCTAAGCCAGAAGCCAGGAACTCAGGGGGGCTTCCCACATGAGTGACAGGACACTAACTAACTACTGCCAGGGTGTGCATTAGCAAGAAGCTGGATTCACAAAGTGGAGCTGGGACTCGAATCCAGTTGTACTGCTATGGTGTGTATGTCGCCCAAGTGGTGTCTTAACCACTGTATCAATGTCCATGCAATGAATTCCTGCAGAATAAGAAAATCTGTAAATAGATCCTGGTTATCTTCATATCAACAAATGTTGCACAACATTTTCAACAGAAAACATGTGCTACAACTGGGAAGGTGGTAAAAGAGGTGGCAATGCAAAATATTCAAGTTTTCTAACCCCTAGGGTTTTTTTTTTAAAAAAAGCAACAATCTGAAGAAAAATCATAGTTTGATTTATTCTCATGCTCAACTGTCTTCAATTCTTTTTTTTTTTTTTTTACAGAAGGAAGTAGGGATAGGGGATATATTTATTCATCACTTAATCAAGTAACTGCCAAAGTTGTGACAAAATTATTGAATAAAAATATGCAAACACTATTTCAACTCATTTATTTGGAAGGCAGAGGGACAGAGGCAGAAACAAAAGATCTTCCATCTACTTGTTTACTTCCGAAATGCTCACAACAGCCAGGACTGGGCCAGGCCAAAGCAAGTAGCCAGGAATTCCACCCAGAGCTGCCACATGAGCAGCAGAGACCCAAGCGCTAGAGTCATCATCTGCTGTCTTCCCAGGCACGTTAGCAGGAAGCTGGATCCGAAGCAGGATATCCAGGAGTTGACCATCACTCAGAAATGGGATGCAGGTGTCCCAAATAGTAGCTTAATATGTTGCATCAAAATGCCTGCTCTATTAATTTTTAAATTTAAAAATGAAAATATTGTATTATAAAAATTCAAACAAAAGTGATGAAAGTAATCATTGAAAATCCCCCCTCTGCCTAATTCTTCATTTCCATTTCCTACTGGTTACAATTAATTCTTCAGTGTATACTCTCCCAGAATTCTTTTTCTTTTCATCCCCAATGATTTTCTATTAGTATTTCATTCTAAAGTCTTTCTACATTTTCCATATTTACATTTCAAACAAATGTTAAATGATGTGTCCATTAAGATTCACTCAGTGGCCCTGTTGAATCTGAGCAAGCTTTTGCTAGGACATAACTGGTGTCCCAGCAAAGGAATAGCTGTTGATTGGACTAGAAATCAAGAAGATTATAATGTCTGTATTTTTTCACAATTTCAGACTTTGCTATTCCCTTCATATTTCATCTTCTTTAATTCTACTATTTACTTACTTAAAAACTAATGATTCTCAGGTTCATTAGATACCTTTTTGTTCTTCCCCATTGCTATATATCTCATTCTCTCACCTTTGATTTGATCAGTTTTTCTAACTATAGGTGGCTCATACATTTTCCCTTCATTGGTGTCATCTCTTCCAAAAGTCTTTATTCATGACTCTTTCATCAAGTAGGCTACTTGCTTTGTCTACTCTTTTCTGGGAAGGTGTTTCACTGATACCATAGACATTTGAAGGAACTTTAACAAGTAGCTTGTCATCTTATAGCAAGGTGCATGCTAGCATTATTTTGCCCATTTTTCACTTGTTCCACTGTCTTAAAATAAAAGATATTACCATTGTTATCCTTCCCATCTCTTCAATTTGATAAATCATAGGCCACTCTGTACAATTTAGTACTTAAACTTTCCTTCATGATCTGTTCTTTTTGTACTTCCATGTCACCATCTTCTTTACCTGGACCATATTCATTTTTCCTTTCAGATAATGAAACTTGCAAATCCATTCATTGTATTACCCCACTCATCTACGTTTGAAATATACAAATATTTACCTTTGAAATAAATCTACATTAATTAAACATAGTTCTTTTTTGTCAATTGACAAATGCTAGCTTTCTGTTGTCAGTTCACATTCTGCAGGTAGAAATTTTACAAAATGGATGTAAGAGGAAATATGCAGCAGAAACAGCTTACATTATCCTTGCTCTGCTCTTTAATGTTCTGTCAATGTCTTTTCTCTCTTTCTCTTCCCTTCTATAATGTACATTTGAATTTGTCAAAGACGTGTCTTATTAGAACTCTTTTTCCTCAACTCCTATGACTTATAATTCTGATATATTTTTAAAACAGACATTCTTCTGTTTTGTTTAAAGCAATATAAAGAGAAGAGGATCCGCAGATGAAACTGTCAATAAAGCTTTAGAGAGGAAAACAAGAATAAAATAAAAAGCAAGAAGGTAGTTTAAAGGCAGTAGTATATAAAACTATAATTCTAGGGTATGAGGAGAATCATTAGCTTATCTTTGTAAGATGGGGGAAATAAGAGAGGTAAGCTGAAAAACTAAATGAACGGCAATGTGAACTTGCCAAAATCTCTATAAGTGACTGCTACAGTCAATCATAAGTTGAAAATCTAGTTATTAGTATGTTTACTTCCTGAATAAAATTGCACTGTGATTAATAGTGTACCACAAGAAATTTTCATCATTCTCTCTGTGCATTATCTTACGGATGAGAAAAGGAGGTTTTCTTTTATTTTGATCTACACTTATAAGAGAAGAAAAAGGATAGAAGGACACTATTTTCTGCCTGTCATTTGAATTCTTTTATTTGAATTCTTTTATCAAACTTGAGTGGAACTGGTCCCTCAGCTATATTTCGTACAGTTCTCAATTATGTAACTTTTCTCACTACGACACTGCTGTTTGTGTACTTGTCTGTCAGCCTTAGTAGACAGGGAGACAGATAAGGAATTGATGATAATTTATCTTTTTAATCCTCTGGCTTCTAATTTATTTTCTCAGGGAATGTTTGGTACATGGATGGAAGAATGGATGAATGAGGTGTGAGAATGAATAACAAAAAGGTTATTTTTTTGCTTTTGTTACTATATTAATAAATGATCAAAACATAACTAAAGTATCAAGTTTCACTATTTTTGTGCTATTTATTTCAGAATTTTTTGTGACATCAAACAATAGAAGCTGCTTAAAAGGAGCAGGAGAATATGATTCTCCTTGATGACTAAAAGGGAATAACTGCTATGATTGGGCTGATTCACTATAATAATAATAAAAATAATATAATAACTGCTGTGCTCTGAACGTTTTAGGTCTCAACAAAATTTCTTTGTTGAAATCTTTAACCCTAAGGTGAAAGTATTAGGAGGTGGGACTCTGGACGTGATTAGTTCATGAGGCAGAGCTCCCATGAATGAGATTGGTGCCCTTATAAAAAGGTCCGAGAGAGATTCCTCACCCTTCCTACCATGGGAACACAAAAAGCAGTTTGCGATAAACCACAAATAGATGGCTTTACCAGACCCTGAGTCTGCCTTAGCTTGAAATTCCAGTCTCTACAACTATGAGACACAAATATCTATTATTTATAAGCTAGCCAGTATATATAACAAATTTTCATAACAGTCCAAATGGACTATGACAATCACCAAAATTTATTGTTTACCATATGTCATGTGACATTTTAAGAACTCTATCAATTACTACATATTTTCCCATTTTTCCAAATATAAAACTTAGTAACCAAGCATTTAATTATTCAGTAATATAACTTGCCAATGAAATTACTAAATGGTGAAACAGCCTAAGCATTATCTGATGAGA